TCTTCTTCTTCTTGCGATCACAAGAGCTACACCGAGTGTCTTCCTCATGCCGTCACTGCGAATGCGATCCATGCGCGTGATGCCGGTCTTCCAGCGCAATTCTTTCATCTCCGTCACTCAGAGGCGGGCTTCAACTTCACTTTTCATAGGCCAGCATTCACCACCGTATATCACGACAGCTCGAATGAGGGTTCTACTGATCTTCGAGGTGAGGTGCTCTGGTATCGTCTTTTCATGATGAGCGTCATTCATTGAGCGCCCCTTAGATCAAGCTGCACTCACACGCGCGCCCACTTCCGAGTCCACCGCCGTCAGAAGTAATTGTTGCCCTGAGATATCTGGACGCGGTCGTACGCCTTAGCACACTGCCACTGACCCTAAAGGCATAAAGTCACTCGTTCGAGTCAGTTGCCTGGTACTCGGTTTCCTTGACGTTCGGTCTAATGTGAGTTTGGAAGTTCAAGTTCACTCAGTCCAAGCTTGCACTTGTTCCTCAAGAACACTCTTACCCTTGCAGGCAAGCATCACATCGCCAGCGAAGAGAAGCGTCTTGGCTCATCCACGACGACAAGAAGAGCAGAGGAGAAAGCGCGGAGCCTTGGTGCACCCCAAGGATTCCATCGAAATGCCTGCTGATGTTCGCACGCGACCTGCAATACAGGATGCACACCCTCTCAATCAGCCCTTCGGAGACACGGTGCTGTCCTAAGGCGTTTCCTACAACATCACGCGGGATACCCAAATGCCTTCCTCCAAATCGAGGAAAGCTATATGAACATGCTTCTTTTCCTGACGATGTTTCTCTAGCAAACGACGTAGATGTATGGCTTCGATGGTGTCACAGCGGGTCACGAAGCCACACTGGTTGGTAGAGAGCAGGACGATATCACGAATACGCTTATCAACAATTCGCTCAAAATTTTCATGCTTTGCGGGAGCAGCGAATTCAAACGATAGTTCGAGCAGTCTCTAGGGCTGCCTTTTTCCTTCCACATCCAATTCCTTATGGACGAACTTCGTCAGCCATTCGGCAGAATTCTAGCATTGTGACCTCCGTCCATCAGAAGATGGTTCTTTCGTCCCTGATGCCAAAGAACTCCTCTACATCGTCGGTCCTGCGGTGACGAGCCCTCAAGTCGGCCAAAGACGCAGCGCATGATCAGCTGTGAGATGCGTCCTTGGCACTGCCCGGGCTAACGAGCCCCCAGCTGTCGAAACGTAGCGGTTTCCCCCTCCGAACATGCGCGGGGATGGGGATCCAGGACCGTGGGAGGGGCTAAGTCCTTCATACTCCTCCTAAATGCAACTTGGGCGCAGACACGCTGCACCCCACCATATTTCCCACCCATCTATACCGCGCGCGGCGTTCCTGGCACTTTGCCAGGCCTTGTAGTTTGCACTTTCAAATATGACTAGAACGCAACCTTTTGATGCGGATACATTTAAGGCTTATTCATGCTGCAAATTCCGAATCAGATGGTAACGAGGGCTAGAATTGAAGAGCAACCATGCGAAGTGTAAATAGGAGTAAACTAATTATAAACCCGTGCAAATTTTTGCAGTTCGATGCGGTTCCGGCTCAGAGCCATAAAAGGATTTGGATTGATTGATTAGGACGCCCAGGCCATTTTGGTCTCATGTTCGATGGAAATGCGCAGCTTTCGAAGAAGGTTACAGCAGCTGTATAGTTGCCCTCCCATTTGTAACCCCTGTCACCATCTGATTCAGAGTTTGCAGCATGAGCATTGCCTCAGTTGCCATCCACATCAGGAGTTTGCGACTTATTCTTATTCGACTGACGTCTTCGAAGTTGAAGGCTTTTGCAGCAGCCACAGCCTTTTGTCGCACTTTTCACTTCCTGGTATTTCCGTCAGTTGTCGGCTGATTTGTTTCCTAGAACACGTGCTACCGCTTCTTTCTCTCGCGAACTCTAGCCCGATGTGGGCTGTCAACATTGCCTGCTTTTCAATGCCTTGAGGTTTCGCTGTACAAAGTTCGGAGCAAGCGGCCTGGACTATCGCCTAGCAGCATTTCGCCAGGTTTCACCAACAATTGTGACGGCTGGTAATCGGATACGAGAAATCACAGCTGCCTCCTCTTCTTTCAAGTGCCACCATTTAATTCTTTCGGGACCACATCGCCCGACCTATTCCGACCTGTGTGGTGTTATCTTCAGCTCACACATCAGCAATGTTGCGCTGCAACTGTCTTATACGGCACGATCTTCGCGTCTATGACTGAGGCTTGACAAAACCATGTCTTTTTGTGTTCTGGCGCTCCCGCTAGAAGGTGAGCAGGTGGGACTAACGTACACGGAACCACGGGTTCACGATGGCGAGATTACACGCTTCTGCATATTCCAAGATGCGTTCGCCATCGACGTTACGTGTTCCATAACCGAACACCACCATGACAACTGTAACCGTCTTTTGGAGCCCCTATGTGACCGTTTAGGTCGACAGCAACAATGACAGCGTCCCGTGCCGGTATCTCCGCTGTCTTTTCCTCAGGCAGAGACCAGAGCTCGTCCTTTGATTGTTAACTGCACCAATCTATGCAGAAACGAGCTGGTACAGTTGTTGCTCGACAACAAAAAGAATCTCCAATCAAGCGGTCATTAAAACGTCGAAACGCTCCACATATTCAAAACGTATCTATTGAGTCGCGGGAACGTCGAGAGGCCACTATGGCCTCACCGCTCGTGGTCCTTGGTTTGCCACAAGGTGCCTCTCGACACCGGTTACGGCAACAAAGCCACACTTTGTCTGCAGCTGGACCATCTTCTTCCCT